GCCCGGCGGGGCTGTGGTGGAGGAGCAGCCATCAGATTTGCCATTTATAGGAATCCAGGCCGACTGGGCCTGAAGAGAGGAAGAGGGAAGGAGGGAGAGGGGGAGAAAAATGATACTGGCAGAGGAAAAAGAAAGGTGGAGGTCGTTTGGTGTCGTGGGAACTGTGAGCAGAGTCCGGGCTGCTCAGCTTCGCCCCTCTGGAGAATTCCCAACTGCTTTCAATTTTAGCCGAGGTCACTCAAATTACAGCCCCCCCTTCCGCTAAAATCCTAGACCCCCCCCCACCTCCACCACTGCTACCACCACCTCCCCCTCCATCTGCTCGGGCCAAAGCCATGACATCATACTCCGAGGAAAATCTCGCTCCCGCTTTCTGTAAATCAAGCTGTAACGAACTCTGCGGTCATTCGGCATTCCAGCCGTGTTCACAGGCTGCTTTCCCTCTGTCCCCAGGTGGGGCTGCCGGGGGGAGGGGGGGGTTTAAAGTCTATTTGGTGAGAGAGGGGAGAGACGATGCAACTGCTGAGGACACACAGACCAGCTGCAAGACAGCAGCTTACCTGGCCTGCCCTGGCCGAGCACGTCTGGGAGGAGCTCGGCACGCCACAGGGCAACCCAAGCTGATCTGGTTCGGGGCTGACCCGAGCAGGCCCGCCGGCGGCCGCTGCCCCCCTCGCCACTGTACCCACGATCCGGCGCAAGCTGTGGCGCTGGTGCTCCGCCTCACGCTCACCCGCCCCATCGCCTCACTCGCCTTCAAGGAGCCCGGCTCTGCCCCTGCATCACGGGGCGAGACTGCAGCTCCCGTCAGAGGGAGAGGAGTTTGTCTGCTACAAAGCCAGCAGCCCTATCACCCTGCAGCTCTCAACTGGCGACCCACTGGAGCCCGGCAGCTGTGAGCCTGGTCAGTACCTGGATGGGAGACTCCTGGGAGAGCTGAGGTTGCTGCCAGAAGAGGTGTTAGTGGACCCAGCAGGGGGCGCTCACCCTGTGGTCCGTGTGGGTTCTAATGCCCCAGTATAGTGGCGGGGACACTAGACTGTGGTGGGTGCTGTCTTTCAAATGAAACGTTAAACTGAGGTCCTGACTAGGGAGTTATCCTGATGTCTGGGCCAAATTTCCCCCCTCCGCCTTTACCGTGGCCTCCAAACTGTCCCCATGTATGACTGGCTTGCACTTGCCCTGCGGTGGACTGGCACCCCCTCCAGGGTGTACCCTGCCTTGCGCTCATTGCTTGCTGTGAAGGCTCTGGCTTCCAGCGACACTGTTTGGTATAAAGGGGTTTGGCAAACGACATGACATGACATTGGGATTCTTGACCACGCTGCTCTCGCAGGACCTGTACAATAGACACCACCATCACGCAACATGCAGAGCGCATTACAAACCAGTTATAAATAACGAGCCACAGCCGACCGACATGCACAACGACATACAAGAACAAACTCACAGATCAGGGCTCCTCCACCCCCAGCGCCCCCCCCAGTGAAGGAATCTCCGGCTGCAGTCTTGGGCTCTGCTGAGCCTCCTCTCCCTGGAGCCTCCTCAAGCCCTGTTCCTGCGACCCTGGGAGACAGGAACCAGGGCTCAGCGCGACGTCACCCCCCTCTGAAGCCCACACAGTGTGAAACGCTGCCGCGGCAGAAGACCTGGTCTTCCACTGTGGACGAGCTGTCCTCCGTCCAGGCGGGGGCGCTGTGTGTGCTCGGCTGGGGACGGGGACAGCTGCGCTCGGCAACAGTAAATGTCACGAAACCGCCCTGTTCCAGCGGGCCAGGGCTGAGGGTGCTGTTTAGGGTCGGTCTTGGCTGAAATCGCACGTCCCAAAGAATGTAATCGGTGAGCCATCACCCCTAATAAAACCGTCCATTCCCAGATAACCAGCGAGCACTGGGGCTCACCGGGCGAGCTGTCTGGACGGGTCCTGGTGCTGATGGACGCGCCAGTTCACTGCTGACCAGACTCACTACGTTTGGGCTCCGGGAACAGCCTGTTTCCAGCGATAGCGGCGATCTCGTTTCTGTTTATCCCTACTCATGCTGAGAATAGCATCTAGGAGAAAGAATTAAACAGGATGATTTAGAGAAAAAAAAACATTCAGTTAAAAACGACCCCTTGGACAGACGGTTTGTGTCCATGCTCTCATAGTGTATGTATAAAATTCTGTACTGGTAATGTCACCGACGTCTCACGTGGGACCGATACTAGGCCGACAAGAAAAACTTAGCAAAACTAAGTTCGCGATGCTGAAAAAGTCAGGCCGGACTCCAGCGCTCTGATTTGCGATGTGACTGGTCAAGCACGGTTTCAGATCAAAGCCCAGCTCGTACCTGGGTCAGCTCGGACCCTGGGTTTTCTCTGGCTCCGCGTGTGTTGCAGCAGTAAGACGAGTCGATGACGACTTTGTGACCAATTCGTAAAGCCTTTCGGCGTTTCGACACTCACTCGTTACTGCGCGCCTGTGGGACAGCAACACCACCGACGAGCTGCTGGGCTTGTTCTGGTGAAACGGAGCACTGTTACACAGCCGATAAGATCTTGACGCAAGATGATTCAGATGTCCCGCACACAAATCCTTCACTGGCCAGATCTCGGGCACTGTTGCAGTTGTAAAACTGGAAGAACTGTCTTTGCCGCGTCCGCAGCTTTCTGACCGCGGACTGTTAGTTCAATGAAACTTGATACGCAGAAGAGAGAACAGGGAAAGATTTTTGAGAACATATTGTAACGCTTACGGCCGACAGGTACTGTGTAAGAGCCAGCTTACCGGAGCAGGTGATGTCACCGCCCTTCCCTGTGATAGCAGGACTACAGCTACTGGGCTGTAGGGGGATCTCTCTTTGGCTCACCGGGCTGGGTCCCTCTTGAGTGACGCGGGAGTCCCGGGTTCGAGCCCCTGACGGTGGGGGCCGACCTAATGCGGTAAGGGCGCCCACCTGAACCCCCGTTGCGTTACAATATTCTCATTCGTGTAATTTCTCTAAAAACAAGATTCAGTGAAAGACAAGAAACACAATAAAATCTCCCCCGGTCCTCACCAAGCTCGGTCTCCGGGCAGAGACAATGAGGAAGGAATGTGTCCCGCTGGAAACCCGCAGGTAGAAGGAACAGCAGGACCCGAGCAGCGCTGAGCTCTGCAGAAACCACAGTCACCCGGCGGCGCACAAAATTGGCAAGAAATAAAGACCTTTGGTCCTGTCTGTCTGAATATATCATCGGTAACTTTTACGTCTTCAATACTTTACGGGGAAGCTTCCAATGCAAACGTTTTGGATGTTCACCTGCTAGACAATCACCACAGTAAATGAATATAGAGGATATGCAGGCCACTGAATACCTACAAGAAACCCGAAGATGAGGCCAGTCCATTAGAACCCCCAATATTTTTATACGCTCCATCTCCAGACCTGGTCCTGTTGAACCACAGCGGTGAGCGGTCTGGCTTTCATTTCGAGCTCATAATGACTGAAGTGAAACAATTAGTCAGCTCCGCGCTCCACTCAGAGGTCCGACCCGCCACCTCCCACGCCAGATCAGGGGAGCTGCGTGCCACGACAACCAGAATCCCAGCCCACGGAGCTATTTCGGGATTCCGTCCTTTATTGTCTTTGCTAAAACAGCTCCAGTCCTTCCTGTTCAAATTCCCCGATCTCGGTCTTCCTGCGCACCTCCGCCCCCGGCCTGGCGCCGGGCCAGCCGGGCTGGTCGCGCTGGTGCTGCGTCTCTGCCCCGGTGCTGAGAGAGAGCGCAGCGCCGGAGCTCCAGCACGGTCCGGGCGGCAGGACTGCAGTCGGGGGGGGGGGATTTTAACCAGCTGGAAATGAGAAAAATTCAGCATCTCGGGGGCCAATTTTAGAACTTGTAGAAGCATTTTTATTTAAAATGCTCCTAACTGTCCCCCAAGCCCGCCTACACTCTATGGGTGACAGGGCCTTCTCCTGTTATGCCCTTAAGTTCTGTAACTCTCTCCCCAAGGATATCAGAGAGTCGCCTTCTCTAAACTCCTTCAAATCCAGACTCAAACCCTTCTTCAGAAGAGCCTGTACTGAACTGGTTCCATTCTTCACCCCTCTGCTCCTACTATACATAATACGACCATCTACTGTCTCCTCTGTGTATTCTCATCGTGTTTATCTTGTGTATTTTTCATTTCTGTTGTTGCTGTTGTCATTCTGTAAAGCGCTTTGAGAAACCGCGTTTAAAGGCGCTATATAAAATAAAGTTTATTATCCCAGAATTCATACCCAACCTCGTACCGTCGGGAATGGCAAACAGCTGGATACTCAGTTAACTCCAGACAGCCTCCATCCCTCTTGAATAAAGGGCTGCCTCATATTTTAACTTCTAAATATTTTTATTAAAATTTCTGTTCTAGACCCCAAATTCTAATAAGATTCAGTCATTAGATCCAATTATCCTTATGTTCTTTATTATTATAAGATTATAATTTAATCTTGGGCACAATTAACAAAATCCATTGTATCTACAATGTTGACATTTGATTAATCACAAACATTTTGTTGCTACGATTCTTGATAATTTGTCTAGACTGAACTGACCTGCTACCGACTGCCTTTCTGTCATCCGCCTCGAAACAGTGCCCTCTTGTGGCTAGAATGGTGGTGAACTGCAGCCTGTTAAAATCACCACTTCGGTTTACAAAAAACCTTAAAATGGATTATTTTGAACAGCTGCTACAAATTTGACAAATTCTGCGGGAATTTAAAGGGGTTACTGAACGTTTGGAATTTTACAGGATAATTGAATGCTCACAAATGATATTTTTGGAAGCTACACAGTGAATACATCATTTGATATATGTTTTTTCACAGAAATTAAAGTCTCAGTACTCAGTATTCTTGAGTCTTCAGCTGGAATTTATAATTTTGTGCTTACTTCAGATTGTAAAAATGGAAAATCTTAAAAGCAGAATATCAAAATCAACAGTAGCTGAAAAGAATCGTTGTAATTAAATTTCTACATGAAAGGCTCAGATACAGTTTTCTTTAGATTACTTTTTTATTTGGATTAGAGACTGAAACATCAGTACAAACTTAAAACGATTTAAAATCAATATTAAACTGACTTGTGAATGTAGTTCACAATGAACCCCTTTGCCTTCATCTCTGTGAGATGAAAGGGACAATTATGTGATAAAAGACTGAAAAAAAGGAAAAAAATTCATCAAACAAATCATGAGCAGTACAAATAACTTTCACATATCCAACAAGACAGAATATCAGCTCATGAAACAATCATCGATACCAATGAACTTAAAAGAAACTTGACACCCTTTTTAAAACAGCTTCAGTGCTGCTCTCTCTATTAGTGTGCACCGTCTAGAGCAAAAATGCTACTAGAAAAATATATTTTAGAATAAAAAAAGCTGAAAGCCGCCACCACAAAGAGAACCTACATGTACCCTGAATATTGTAAAAGTGACGTTTCTCTTTAAGTTTTATCTTTAAAAACGAAGACGGAAAAGGATTGTGGAAAAACACCAGAAAGACATGACTGGAAAAGTGTTCTATCCCTGGTGTGTCAGAATGCGGATCTAGCAGAACACGGGCTCTGCTGTTTCTTGCTTGTCAGCCAATCTATTAATTTGCGCACTTTGGCTGTTTTTAGGTCTGTCCACTGCTTACAGAACAGATGCACTGCTGTCCTCAGTGCAGTCTGGGGGCCTGTAGACACGGGTCGGTGTGGATTCGCCTGACACCTAACTCCCCTGTGGGACGAGGGTGGACTGACAGCCAGGAGCTGAGCTGGATGCTGTCTGTCCAGAGACGGAAGAGCCAGGTGCTCTTGGAAATAATAGCTTTTCACCTGCAGGGCCTTCAGTGCACAAGTCAAGTGGCACCACTGTTGTGCAGAATAAGCCCAGCAGGCTGACATGGCGCTGATAGACTCACTGAAACCTAATACAACACAAAATAAGAAAACCTTAGGGCTGCTTAATGATCCAGCAGACAAAAAGCTTGTGAAACCTTTTTATTTGTATGCATTAGAGCTAAGAACAGCTTCACAATGGGGATGAGAAGGACCTCAAAAAGCAGTGTTTAGGTCTAAACCATCATGATATCAATTAAGCTGCTCCAACACCCGTGATTGAAAGGCTTATAACAGAACCAACACATCAGCTACTGCCTAATTATAAACAACGGGTCCTCCAAACGAAGATTCCGAGGGACTATTGATAAGGGATAATGCCGGCCAGTTGCTGGGCTTTGATTTTTAAAGCAGCTGTTACAGGAAGGTCATTATGATTGTCTGTCCTTTGCACAGAAGACCTAGTTAACAGTGTCTGTGTTAACTGCCGTTATTCGTGTTGTTCCGATCCTTCCATGAACCTCCCAGTGTCACGCCAACCCCTGTGTTTCCTGTGGAACTGGTGCCATGGGAAGCAGTGGGCGAGGAACAGAGCGACTGCGACAGAACTTCACTGGCAGCTTTACTGGGTGTCAAACCGTAAAATAAGGAACTTCAAAACAAAACCAGAGGAAGAAGAGGTTGTTCCCACAATAACCTCTCCCATCGCAGCCTAAGGCAACACATCTCTGCGTGTGACGCCACCTCTACAGACTGGACACTTCAACCTGGCACACAATCTGGGGGTCAAAGGTCACGCCCACAGGAAGTGATGACACACTGGCCTTCAGGTTCACAAACCAACGGGTTAAGAATAATGGTGGACGAGACCAGTCGCTCCCAGGCAGAATACAAGGTTAATTTTTTTATCAATTCCTGCCGTTTGCAGCCATTGAGACATTCTAAAAAAACTTTCCCTGTCCAGCACAAAGCAAATTCCTTAACGCTTTTTTTTTTTGTTGTTGTAAATTGCGCAGCTGGAGCTGTCATTACTAGCCTGTTCGTGCCTCATGTTCCGTCCAGCAGAGCTGCGGTTGTTTCCATTTAGAAATCATTTTTCTAGCTGAAGTCTTTTTCTTCCTGGCTGCCTTTTCTTTTACCAGGACAGCGGGACAACACCCCTGAACGAATTTCTGGGCCCTTCTCCTACTCGAGAAAATGGGAGCTGCAATAAAAATGCTGATCGCGGGGGAAAAAGAAAGGTGGAGCGCAGCTGCCAGGAGACCACGGACATTTTTCTTAGCTGGGAAGGGAAGCTGCGGATCGTGATCAGCAGGACGACACCTGCTTGCTTGGGCAACAGAAATGGACCATGTCGGCCGACACCGAGCGCACTGCTGCATCCTCTTCGGACGTAGGTTAGAGTAGAGACGTGGGTTTGGGAGACAGGCCAGTGGAGAAAATGGGACGGCCCTTTCTGCACCGCACTGAGGAGGGCATGCGTTCTCTGCTATAGGGAAAGGGGAAGGAACTGACAGGCAGCAGAGCATCGTGCTACAAAAGAGGAGTGAGGGTTCGAAGAGAGAAGGAGATCAGGGGCTGGAGGGGGCGAGGGAGAGTTGCGACAGGCCCTGTGTTGCAGACGTGAGCAGGAGGGGGCAAGGGTGCCGACAGTGGGGAATTCTGGGAAGCGAGGCGGGACTGCGCGTCACCCCTCAGGCCTTCTGGGAAGAGTCCTCTCGGGGCAGCAGCTCCTCCTTGTCGTCCCGCCGGCTGTGCAGGCGGCGGCGCACCTTCCTGAGCGACAGCAGGATCAGGGCAAGGACCAGCAGTCCCGTCATGATGGCCAGAGTGGTGGCCATGATGAAGGCTTCCAGAGGGAAGAGAGACGAGAGACAAGCTGTGGTTTAATGAACATACTCTGCATGGGATTCGGAAATAAGCAATGTTGTCCAATCAACATTTAACTCCGGGAACAATTTAAGCACGTCGACTGTCCTCTAGAATCATATTGTCAGAGAGGTGATGCTCAGTTAAGTTCTCTCTATTATTGCCACAATCGTACTGCAACAGAAGTCAGAGCTGTTGGTCTAAAATTAATTGGCTTAGTTTTGTCAGTCTTATGAATGGGCACAGCATCAGCAACTCTCCCATGAGAAGACTTCTGTCTTACGTGACTGCAGGAAGAGTGGTGTTGACCACCCATTAACTCCTTCAGCTCTTCTATGCTAATAGTAATCAATCCAGAACTGGAAAAAATCCTTTTGTTTTTCATTTGAGCCTCCATCTCTCACTCTCAGCTTTCTAGTCACCTTTCCACCTGCATCTGGAGTTCATTGCACTCTATTCCTTTATAGATGAACTTTATAGATCATTTCTTCCTCCTTGTGTTTTTCTTAATTCTTCATCTTCATAAACTATTTGGCCCTTCTGCTGTCTTACTCAAAGTTCCTTACGCACGAGCTAGTCCAACTAGATCTGCCCTGAAGGGATCCCAGTAACTCCGAGATGGAAAACAAGCTGATCCAATTCGCACTGCTCATGCTAGTGGTTACTCAAGTCTTACCTGGGGTGAAACGATGTCCGTGTCCATTGTGATAGCCTGCAAAAGATAAATGTATGAGCCAGATTCTAGCCGACGGCTAGCTTTGAACTGGGCCTCAGATTCTCCCTTCATGTCTGGTCTTATTTCCCTGCGATAATATCAAGCCAAGCCCCACCCCACCCACTCAAGTTCATCCCACCCCACTCCTATCTAACCCTAACCCAAGCCAAAAACCCACTTTGCTACAATGATTGCAACAACAACAACAACAACAAGTGTCAGCTTCCTATTGCTTATATACAGTGAACACTGTGTCGAAGCTGCCATTAGGTGAGACATTCCTGCACTGTGGGTGGCTTCATTTATTCGCCAGGCAAGATCAGCCTGCTTGTATCCGAATGATCACAGCTGCAGGCCAGACAGCAAATCCGATCCCCAGCTGGGGGTGCCCCGGAGCGCCCACTCACGTCCGCCATTGCTGCACGAGGTTAGCGGTGCCTACGTCATGGCAACGAGACATTCCTGCCCCCCAAGCACCTGGGCCGTCCTCTCATGAAGGAAACGGATCTGGAGGGAAAACTCACGCGCTTGCCTCGCGGTCGTGCTACTTCAAGTGAACCTGTAAGCTACTCCCAGCTGGATTTCGCAGCCTGTCTCACTATCTGTCTGGACCGCTCCGCTCCAGTCGGTACCTTGCGACCCCACGCAGTGGGCCAGGCACTCCTGCGCGCTGCTGTAGCGGTTCTGGTTGCCCTGGCAACCCCCATAGGTGAAGGGCAGGCAGTCCTGGGTGCTGGGGCTGAAGAAGAAGGCGGGGAAGGCGCCGCGGCAGGGTCCGACCTCGGGTGAGGCCAGGCAGGAGTCTGTTCAGGGAGAGAGAGGAAGCTTAGCGCAGCAGCAGCTCCTGTCTCTGTACATTACTGTGCTCTGGCAGAACAGCGCCACCTAGTGCACACAGAGGGCTCTTTGTTTTGAATGTGGAGACTAGGTTCCAGTTAAGTGGGCCGTGTTCCTTGCTCTCTGGAGTTCAGGGTGATTGCAGGGTTATGGACTTTAACGAGCTGAAACACAGCGCTTGGGGTGAAAGGAATATGTGTCCAGGCTGAAGCGCAAGTTCAAAGAGCTCTGGGACGAGAAAGCAGCGAAAAGCACAGCACCTTGGTTATGGAATTAGGAGTGTTTCAGTGCATGAGTCCTGACAGTAATAAACACCAAAAACAAAGAGCCTTATGTATGTGAAGTGCTGAATTTTATTATAAAGTCAACGTACCTTAAATACTGAATTATTTTTTAAACGTATTTTACTTTAATACTAAAACAGATGAACAGACTGACAGAGAGACAGACAAACGGAGAGTGACAGACAGCCTTTAGTCCAGTCTTTACGCGTAAGGGAATGATGAAAAGGACAAACACACATACCATGGTACTCTTTGGAAGAGTCAGTGGCCGTTTTCTTGGGCACAGGGATGACTGAAACTGTGAAAGAACAAGCAGCTTTTAACAGTATTGCCCACACTGGATTTAATTCTCTCTGCTCTGTTGACACACGGGCCCCATCTTAAACCACACTGTCTCTTCCTTAAAGGACATTTCTCATCTGTTATGTAATAAGCAGTTCAAACAGAACAGTACAAGCTACCTCCTCCTCCTTCAAAAACAACGAGCTATATTCCTGGACTTAAGGGAGAGGAACAGAGTATTGTTTTATCTTAAATAGAGAAGATAAAAAGGCCCCAGTACTATCCTAAACCCTCAAAGGCATGGACTCTGAAAGTGCACGTCTTTACACAAGGGGTGGCGGGAGTGTGGAACAAGCTGACACGCTGGGTCCTGTCCTGAGGGTTATTATAGCGAATAACTGCACAGCGAGATGCTCACCTTGACAGGAGGCCAGGCACTCCTCCTCCGAGAGGTAATTGTTCTGGTTTCCGTGGCAACCCCCGTAGATGAACAGATGGCAGGTGTGGGTGGTCTTGTTGTAGAAGTAGCGTGGAATGGAGGCCCGGCACAACCCCACCTTGACCGGGGCCTCGCACTTCTCTGAGGACGGGACAGGCGGAGACCGGGGCTGAGAGGGGCAGCGGGAGCGCGTGTGGACCGGACGAGGCCGAGAGATGGACCGAGACGGACAGGGCGGCTGCACTCAAGTTCATCCCACCCCACTCCTCTCTCTCTCCACCCCACCCCACCCACTCAAGTTCATCCCACCCCACTCCTCTCTCTCTCCACCCCACCCCACCCACTCAAGTTCATCCCACCCCACTCCTATCTCTCTCCACCCCACCCCACCCACTCAAGTTCATCCCACCCC